CATAACTATTTGGTGATGGCTTTACAATCATAGGGGGATGTGAATGTACCAAACATATTTTAATCTAATCAGTAGAAGAAATATCTATTGCTTCATAACATAAGGGAAGCATAAATATTTCTGTACTTCTACATTCATAATAGATATTTGAAACTATCATTATTTCAATTGAACTATACAGCCGCCACCTCCGCCGCCACCGCCGCCGCCTCTCCTTCTCCTTCTCCTTCTCCTTCTCCTTCTCCTTCTCCTTCTCCTTCTCCTTCTCCTTCTCCTTCTCCTTCTCCTTCTTCCAAAAGTTGTTCCTGTTTCATCTTCTTTATGTAATAATTGTTCTGTGTATTCTATAGTCCTTTTTTGTTTAAAAATATGTCATATATTCATTTGCTACTTATTTTTTTTCTTTAAAAAAACTTCATGCCCCTGTTAAATTCATATAGGTTACTATATAGTATTCTGCCTTTGACATTCATTGCCATAGAATTAAATCACCTGGCATTTATGCCTCTTTTTTAAGTCATGTGTAGTTGTGACATTAAGTTTAATTTTAGGAGCTTAATTTCTTTCTCTATCAATATGTTCCTCTATAGGATTTCCCACTGAAAGATTGAAAGATAGTTGGTAATCTAGCATGAATTTGATGTGGTTTGTTAATCATTATACTTAGATTCAAGTTGTTCCAGTTTCTAATTACAAGTTTTCTAATTAACATTCTTCAATCCTCATCAAATTCATTCTTTTTTGTATTAGATTCCAAAACAAGGGGATCATTTGCTGTCTTTATCCAATATGAAATTAGCACCTCCAAGAGCATCGATCTCACCATAGAATTATGAGCGGAGTTGAAAATTCTTTTCAGATCTTTCCAGATGTTCACATCTGGATCTCTTCTTAAGCTTATCTTATATGAGTTTATTAATGGTTTGAGCAGTCAGATTATATCCTTTTTTCTTTATTATTTCATATCACATTCTGTTGTCTTCAGGACACTATGTGAAATCAAACTTGAATTGCTGTTAAAGTATGAAACAGATTTTCCATGCATTTCACTTTTTAGCATGTGCGTTATCCAAAACACAGATTTAAACATATGACTTTATGTATGTATGTATGTATGTATGTATGACATTTATATAGCTGTCCATCTCACACACTATGTTTATGGCTTCATTCCTGTGTATTGCAACAGGTTTTATAGTTATTTTTAAATCATGCTAATAGAATTTTAGAATGTAGGGCATTCATAAAATAAACTGAGATTAGTTAATAATCTTTTTGTTGTACAATAAGATGCCTGGTGAAAGAGATGACATTGTTATGATTGAATAATGTGATTAATATTTAATAAAAGACATAAGGTGAAAAAGGTAATGAGAGATGACATTGCAGAGTTTCTGAAGCTGGTGACTACTGTTGACTGTCTTTCCAAAAACTAAGAAAAAGCTTCCAACTTATACACTAATATAACCTTTTTATTCTTTCCAACCCAATGGCATGTTGGAAAGAAATTATGTAAGTAGGCTCAGGACTCTGTCTAAAAACTGATCAGAATGGGACCAAATTTTATATGGTGACAGCTGCCAACAGAAGAAAGTTCATCTTTGAAGATGGGCTGGATCCAGCTTAGGGCTGTGAAGACAAATTCTCCAGAAGAAAATTCCCCTAATACAACCCTACAGGACAAGAGTTGGGCAGGTGCTCAGAATGCTACCGTGTGCTCCATTCTAGGATCATTTGCTCAAGAGTGGAGTATATACTGCTTGCCCTGTACATGCATAACACATACAGACCCAGCACAAGGGAAAAGCAGAAGCACAGAGGGGACACATACTGTATACATCTGCCCTGATTAGACTCTCATGTACACAGACAACACATATGCATACACCCTGATTAGATCCCAGAGAGAAAGTAAGTACACACCTAGATACAGATGCAACATACTACTTCATTGCACAGAAGAAAATATATATACCTCCTATGGTGCTGAGATAAAGGAGTTAGAAAGAATTCTAAAAGCCATGCCTTGCATTCTATCCCTAGCTTGTTTATAGAGAGTGTATTTTCCATAGTTAGGCATATTTTTAACTTTCCAATACATTAAATATGTAGAATATTGTATCAGTTGATTCTATGAGCTTACAGTTATTTGCCATTCACTTCCTTGCAAGAGATCCAATATTATTTATGCTTGTGAATGCACTCTATCCAGTTTTTAAGGAAGCCTCAAGCTCCATTTAGTTATAGGACAGTCAATTTTGGTTGGGGATCTCAAGCATCTCCTTCATTGTATTTCTGATTCTGAGGATATTTTTTCTCACAATTGACCTTGCACGGTGGTATGAATATTTTTGTATACAATAGCACAAGCTAAGGATACACAGTTGAGCATCCACCACTAGAAAGTTATTTGAAAAAACAAATCTTGCCAGTTTTCTTCAGAATTACTGTCCTTTGCTGAGTCAACCATGGTGAGATACTATTGCAGCAGTCTCTCCTATATTATGCTATCCAAGGTCTTTAGAGCTCCCTGCATTTTGTAACCATGAAGTTATCTGACCTGACCCAACTTTCTATAAAATACGTGAATGGAATTTTTCCAATCCTTGTTTTCAGAATAGAGCAAGATCACCGACTTTGGCAGAAAACTTACATTGCTAAAGTACTGAAAAAGTTTGCTTTATCTGAGTTGTTAAAGCCCTTTGCATGTCATCAGTACTGACAATTGTGGAAAGAGACCACTGATACAACACAGGACTTTAGATTGTCATGGGGAAAATGACCACTTAACCAGGAACCAGAGTGATTGGACCCAACTGTTATCTGTCTCCTTCCCCTCCAGGGTCCTCAGGCAGTTTCAGTTTGCCTGCTCCTTGTACTTGCAGTTCAAAATCCCTCATATTAATCATGTATGTAAGGATAGAATAATATTTGTTGCCCACATTCCCCCATTTCTTTTCCCCATCTACAGGTGGAAAATATGGTGGAGGGGAACAATATGATAATATGCAGACCAACCTGGGGGTATAATGATCATCTGAGAATGTTTTACACCTTTGACAACAAGAGTTAGAGGAGCTCCACAGCAAGGATATCCACCCATTATACAAACATATGTATTATCCCTATTAGAAGGAAGAGAAATTAAATCAATAAAATGACCTTTATCCATGTCCACATGGAAGAATATATACTATATGATAGTAATCTGTGTTCTGAGTTCTCCCCTAGGACCTGGGTTTTAGCTACTTCTTCCAGAGATTGTGCCTGCTTGTAGATCAATGCAATATCAGTCTCGATACAGTTATGTTGATTAACTCAAACACAACAAGAAGAATTCACCAATTTACATACTCCCCTTTATGAGGTAGATAAATAACCCAGGACCATCCTATTTTTGACAGTAAGATGGCCAATATCCTCATTTTGGCACTGCAGAATATGTATTGCCTCAGTGACAACACAAAAGGCAGTCTCCACGTCTATAGAAACATTCATGATAGTGGTCTGCAGCTCATATATTCCTAGATATGGCAGCTGAACTTTAGAACGATATACTCCCCAATGTTGTCTCTCAACCAGGGTTTTTTCTATATACTGTAGGAACCAAAAGTATGGGGTTGTTGTGGGGTTGTTAATCTTATTATGGTAAGTCAGATCAACAACTACATGCCCCAGGATTCAGCTTCCTTCAAAGTTACTAGGTAGCATCTTATAAGCATGTTCTCCACAGATTCAGTCACAGCCTGGTTTTGAAGTGACGTAATACTTGTGATGACTGGGAAGCTTATCTGTGGCTTTCAACTTCTGGAGGCAGTCATGACATGCCATTTGTCCAAATTAATTACCATGACAGTCATATTTTCACAGGCTGCTGCCCATATAAGACCCTTAGGATTGTGAGTATAATCCACAGAACTACAGGGCTCTGTACTATTAATGAATAGTCCCAAATCCAATAGCCAGTATACGTCTACACCCTCCAATTGAATATTAAATGCCAAAACAAGGATATTATTCAACAGGTATAGTTCCTCTGTATAGGAAGGGCCTATATTAGGGCCACTGGCTCCAATGGTTCCAGCAGGGTGTAATGTCTATAACACTGTCACAAGCATCAGTGGTTCCCATAGGGTACCACCAGGAAAGCCTCCCTGGGTTGCCGGAGGCACAGTTTTGGTGGATACACAAGTAGGGAATAGTTACCAGACAGTGGGGTAGCTGACTGAAGTTGGACAGAAGGGCTTACCTTGAATCTCTCAATCAAGAGAACTTTTCATAAACTGTTAATAACACCTGCATTATCTATACTAATTGCTGGGGAGTTTTTACAACCAGAACAACAGTAGGCAACTTCTCACTCAACATGAAAGTGATGAATTCAGAATGGTCACACTGAATTTGTACATACAGCTTTACATGACTTTTATTACCCACCAAAAATTTGTAGAGCAAGTGGTGTTCTCTTTGTGGATCATTATAAACTTTTATTTAATTAATTCTTTAAATTCCTAAAATCACTTGGGCCTGTAGGTAAACACATTCTGCAATACATGAGCTCATGAACAATTCCACCCCCATCCTCCAGCACATGAAATTGTACAGTAAATACCTGTCATATCTTAAGCTGATGACCATATCCTTGAAAATAAGGGGTTTGTGCTACCTGGGGCACTCATCTTGCCATCTTTGATAATATTTGAGCTATGAGATCTCTGCAAATTAGCATTTCAGTAATTTGTTCTTACAAAATATACCTTAGCATCCTGTTTTTTTCTACCTTTTTTGTCTGTAAAAAGTCAAGAACACTATGAACTGTCTTGATGCTATATACGTTTGATTTTGCATTTTAAACAGCTACATCAGTTTACTTCTGATGTTGGGGCTGATTTATAGGAAAAATGATGCCTTGGGATGGGAGATTGTTCTTGATAGCTCTCTTGTTTCTTGAGAAGTTTCCAGATTTATGACTAGAAGAACAAGTTTAGTATGCCATCTAAAAGCTCAAGCATCAGAAAAGATTCCACAGTAGTTTTTATTTATATATATTGAAACTTGACATTTGGTGATCTATGGCCATGTCTTGTAAGTTCAGAGATGGTATGGTTTTTAACTATTAATAAGCATGCTTTAACCACCTTTCCATTCACTTTCCCATGGCCTTTAGCCTCCCATCCTGGTCATAACTTTGACTTCTTATTAATAGGTGCTTTTTTGTTTTGTTTTTTGTCTTTTTCTCAAATTCACTCTAGGTATCAAACTGGTTTGGAAATAAACGAATCCGGTACAAGAAGAACATAGGTAAATTTCAAGAGGAAGCCAATATTTATGCTGCCAAAACGGCTGTCACTGCTACAAATGTGTCAGCCCATGGAAGCCAAGCTAACTCACCCTCAACTCCCAATTCAGCTGGTTAGTTTTTTTTTTTCTTTTGGGTTGTTATTGTTCTTTTTTCAGTGGGGTTTTTATTTTCTTTTAGTATAAATGTATGTTTCTTGTTTTTCACTTTGAGTTCCTATTTGATTTGACTATTTTGTTCCTGTCTGTTTTTCTGTTCCTAAAGGCAATATAGTCTCGCTATTTACTTTAATGTAAATGTGTTCAGGATTTTTGCCTAGGTAACATTTGCCTGAGTTGCTGATGCCCTCAGAAAAAAATGTTGTCTATGTACATTTTATATGTTTCGATAGCGGAGAGACGAGGTGACTCAGAATTTTCATTTGCGGGGCATGAAAACAGGAGTTTCTTCTGTGGAAGCCACATTAGTGAAGAAAAGCTAAACTTTAGCACATATACCTTGATGGTGCTGTGGCTCAGGATGTTTTCATTCTGTTTAGGTCTGTATTGTATGGACCTTATCCCTAAAATATTGCTTGCTGACTTCATTGTCTGTGGGTCTCCTCCAAGCTTGTCCTATTTTGTGTAATTTCATTCTTCTTTGCCAGAATTGTCAGAAGGAATTTCTTCCTCTATAGAGATTCAAACATGGTTTGTTCCTCAACCTTTCCAATATGCAGTTTTCATGTTGGCTATTCAAGGAATAAATTAAATTGTATTACCTTGAGTACTGTGAAGAAAGTCAAGATAGAAATATTAGCAATGATCTGATTCCAACTTTGAAATGTAAGTGGAGGGAAACTTTATCATTCAAAACTATTTATTTTGTAACAACTTGTTTCCTATAAGATAAGCTATGATTTGCTGGTCCTTGTTACATTTGGGGCACTATATTGCAAAGCATCAACCTGAGGACTGATGCATACATTATGGCTTTGTGTATTAAAAGGTGAAAAACTACAGCCTACTCGCAGTTGGAAAACATGACATGGGGTCTGCTCTGAATGATTTAAACTCTGAAGTAAATAAAACTTGAAATTTAGTCTCTTTTTCCTACCAGAAACTCTGTCCATAGTGTCATTTTTCTCCAAGTCAGTGTGGCTAGGAGATAAACCCATAGCAACTGAAAATCAGTGACCTGCATCTTCCTCTCTGAATGACAAATTACTAAGTGAAAATTTAGCAGTACCATGCAGACTGAGTCCTTCTTCACGCTTCATTTTGATGAGAGAAAACAGATTTGGGTCCACCCTCCAAGCCTTTAACTACAATTCCCTTTCTCTGGAAAACTGATGCCACCTTCTGTGTTATGGGGATAAAGTTAGAAACTCTGCTGACATTATTTGCATTCTGCAAGTTGGTATTTCTGCTGCTCACATTTGTTTGGTAGGCTTGACTTTGCAGTTGCCTTAACTAAGGACTTTTAGAAAGAGGGATGACCACGGATGACTACTGGAATTGTAGGATTTGCAGACAAATTTGGTGAGCTCCTTTGTTTCTGGCACCCTGCCATATTAAGGCAAAAATGGAGAAATCACAAACATCATATTAGACAGATAGCACCACAAGTTATAAGAGTTTTCTAGTTACTTTCAAAAGCAAATGTGTTTTGCCTTATTAGTGTCTCATTTAATTTGTGGATCAAAGTCTGCAATTTACTGGTGTGAGATGGATGTTTTTATTAGTTCTGCCTTATGGATAGCATTGTTTTAAAAAAAACATGGTGTGTCTTTTGCCATGGCAAAATCATGATAAAATTTCACAAGATCACATTTCATGAATTGATCACAAAAAAAAAAATACATGTAGAAGAAAGGACGAGTCTTTAGACCACTTGCTTGCTGAAGAGTGGAAATGTTTTTGTCCTTTGCCCAAGTTCATAGTTAACCAGAATAAGGTAAAAATTTGGAGCAGCTTTATGTATTGGTTTTCTGTACACAAGTAAAATTCACTTGCACTGAAACATGTAAAGTGTGAATAAAACAAGTGTCTATAGTATAAATCCAAAGGTAGGTAGCTGAGGTTTTTTGCTATGCAAAATGAATGACATATTATTTTAAACACCACTATTTGTTCATAACTTTTGATCAAAAGAATCTAAAATCTGTTAGGCCAAGTAGGTCAAGAAGCTTGGTAGGGGGGTCTGGAATAAAGTGCTACCAACTTCTGCTTTATGGAGATGCTCTGCAGTGTTTCTGCTACATGATGATTTCTCTGGCTAGAAAGAGAATCCAGGAAAATCAGATGCATTATCAGCAAATATGGGAGATAAATACAAAAGCCACGGTCAGAATCTTAAAAACAGTAACAATGCAAAAGGGGAGACGTGAGATATTTGGTGATCAGTTTTTGAAACAGTGTATTGTCAGCTAGTTGAGGGAAATCACAGGCAAATTCTGCAGAAAACTAAGCAAAAATTATGAAGGAAGTGCTGCTCTTTTAGGGATAAAAACATTATCTACATTTTTATTCTTTGGTGATATAAAAAATCCTGAAACACAAATATCCTTAAACAAACGGTACTCAGGGAATCGCCCCTATAAATGGAATTACTGATCTGTCAGTATTAGTCTTATATATTACATAAAGAAGGAGTATCTGTTCTTATTATTATGCAGCTATTTTAAGAGCTATGGTGCTAGGACTGAATACAGTTGTAAATACTGGCTGGCTAATATATTAGAGAAGTTACAGATTATGAAATACACCCAAAACATAACGTACATTAACAGCTGCAAGCATTATATTAGCAAAAACATTACAAGGTTAAACTTCTTAAACTTCTGTGGAGCCTAAGGACTAATCTTGTACACACTTCAGAAATAAAGGACTCCATTTATAAACTACTTGAATATTATTTTTACTGGTCAATGACCGAAATAACATTTCTACTTGAATATGCATATGTTGGGCAAATTAATGACATACTGCATATAAATTTAAATTTGTGAGGAAGATCTGCCTCTCAAATTCTGATTTTTTCCCCCTACAAATTTTGAGAAAGTTTTCAATTCCTGATAAAAATCTCTATTTGCAAGTATTCTTATTGACAATAAAGGCAAGGACAAATACAGAGAAAAACAAGTGTAAAATTAACCATCCTCCCAGGAATTAGCTGCACAGGAGAGCTTCTTGACAATATTTTGGTTGTTTTATTATAGCATGTTAGTCAGAAATGGCCCTCCTATTTGAGGGACCAGCCTGATAACAACCAGGTGGTTGGGCCATGCAATGGACTCTTTTAGATACTCGTGCCAAATAACCCCAGATGACGTTAGGTGTCCAGGAAGTTATGTAGAGTTGGGGAACAGGGAGTTGCTTGTTCATTTCTTTCTTGCTCATTTTACAAAGCTGCTGTTAATTTTCTTGGAGGTTATCTGGCATCCTCAGTCTTCTTTAGAATCATGCCATTTAACAGAACAAACTGAGCATGTGAGCCTCCTGGCCAACTACTCTCCCCATACTCCCCTCTGCTTTCTACCTGGCCAAACTGAAATTGTCCAGCCTGAGTCCTCTCCTTTCCATTGTTTCTTTACCTCACCATTTTTCTTGTTCCTTTGATTGCACCTGTTTGGTTCTCCCTTTCTCACTTCCAGTACCGCTTCCTTTTCTCTCCAGCTTTGACACATACCATCACCGACTCTCATCTTACTGCTTTGGAACTCCTCTGATCTTCTCCTTCCCTCCTGTAGTATAAATCAATCACTCTTTGCAAACTGCTGCTTTCACCTAATGTGGGTGCACTTAAGACAGCCTCTTTTTTACTGGCCTGAAAACTTAAGCACCTGTTACTTTCTGTCATTTAAATGAGATAGACAAAACCAGACCTCCTTATTTAACCTTTTCTGAATTGAACTGGATTGGTCTTCTTAGTATGCATGACTTTTTTCACCACACAAAATAGTTTTTGATTGCTGTAATATCTGTTACCTGTACATACAGTAGGGCAAAAAAGTATTTAGTCAGCCA